CCCGGCCTCAACCACGTCCACGACTACGTCTCCCATCCATAGATACGTTTTTCCCCCTCTCTTTTCTTTTCTTTTTCTCCAAAAGGTAATTTTAGTGAATAATCACAGTAAATTGACTAAGCACCAATTCCAGCATACCAAATACACAAGTAATCATATATGCACATAACACGCCATAACAAGGAGGCAGATAATCAAATACACAAATACATGTCACAAATACATATCAAGTTTGACAGATAATCATATACACGAATTCACAAGCTAAGGTCATGTAGTAGCCATATATATGTGCATCAAAAGAAAAGGGATACGTTGTCCCACACCCTGTTAACCCCGTTCGGTCTCTCACGTCACTTTCTATCAAACTAGATGTCCATTGGCCTCTTGAAATCATTCTAGCCAGACAAAGCCTGTTCATTTCCCAAAATGCAAATCTCAAATACTGAGCATCGCCTCAACGCTAGAGTATTCGGGCACGAGAATCCGAAATAAGACAATTCACATCTCGAGCTGGCCAGTCCCAAGAGTAAACTATCTACAATCGAAATTCCTGTCAGACGTACCTCTCTCTGATCCTCAAATACCACAAGAAAGTTAAGGCCTATCACATTCACAATTCAGAACTTAGGCTCAAACGAGCATTTATTCCTTCATATCTATTCACCACTCAGTCTAGGCTCACTCCGCGCAGAGACCACGCGAAGCAGGCTCTGATACCAACTGTGACAGCCCCACTTTCCCCTTAGGCGAATCAGAGGGTTCAGCGGACCGCCTGTCCAGCTCTCGCCGGGACTCAGTCGTTCACTCACACAAATCAAAAATAGAACCACAAGAAAGAGCAAAACGAGGATCCAAAACTTAAAACGAAACTTATATACATTGCTATCTCAGAAAGAAGTACAACCGTCGAGAATACAAAAGTTCTCAAGTCACCATACAACCAACCCGTGCCAAGCACTAGGGCGAGAACCAAAACAAAACCAGCCAGTCGATACAGAGCTCTCGCCCCTGCTTGCCTTCCCCTGTTAAGGAAACAAAACTAAAGGGATGAGCTAAAAGCTTAGTGAGGTTCCGAACATAGGATCAAGCCATAAATCAAACAATAAGTCCAGAAGTATTTACAACATTTACAATAAGTCACATGAAAAGGATACGTTCGTTCATTCGTTCGTTCTCCTGTCATTCCCCTTATTCCTTCATTCGTTTGAAAATGCATTTTTCATTTATCAATAAAACCCTCGTTCGTTCGTTCGTTCATTTCATTCAACCCTTCCTGGACATTGGCCAGGCTCCACCAACCTCCACCAACCTTCAAGGTAATACTCGAGTATACCAAACGTTCACCCAGGTCACCAAATTGCCCGACCGAATCCGCTTCTGGCTCGAGTCGATCGGTAACAAGGGGCAGGGCCTAGTTCAGCCAAAAGGCTTACATTCATGCACAAGTAACGTTCCAATCATTCAATCTTTAAAAATTTCACATTTATTTAGGTCGGGTGCGATAAAATACACACCCTCCTAGAAAACTCGTTTTTGGAAATCATTGAAAGCACTTAACACGTTATCAAACAATAATACAAGTCATGAAGTCAAGAAAATATAGCAAACAAAGAACACTCACCGAATTATGCAAAATAACGTCCAAAATGTCCTATCGGATCTTACCCTCGGTCACCGAGAAAACCTATGATTCGACGAGAAAGAATATTATAATTCATCTAGCAAAACAAGTAAGTGGAATTAAGGAACTCGACTAGTTACGAGTAAAACGGATAAAGGTGACTTTAAAGTGAAAATAAAGCCATTTGGATCTGTGGACGGAAACAACTAGGGTGTCATAAACCAAACTCAAAGGGTTATAACAGTTCCAATGGAAAACACTTGAATCAAAGTCAAGTCGGAATCCAACTAGATAGGCTCAGAAATATTATTTTTTTCCGAAATCGTTTATGTGGTTCAAAATCAATATACATTCAAGTAGGTATTATGGCCTACATGTCTTGACTGAGAAAACCTTAGGTCATACCTCTATATTTTGGTATGAAGTAGTAAATAAACATTTGAAGGTTCAAATGGAAAAGGTATTATGTTTTAAGATGGAAAACGGTCATAGTATTTGCCAAACGAAAAATATACAAGTTCAAATAGAACTTAGCCCTCGAGCAAAAATTTAGGCAGCACGCCCTCTGTATTTTCCTATTTCCAGTCATTTATGGCTTCATTATTTTTCTCATTCAAACCCAAAGGTACACACACAACAATTTAATTTCAATAGCCATTCAATTGGCTCAAGACAATACAAGGAAAAAATCAAGCTAATAACAAGTACGAAAATGACGTTTAGGTTAGAAAACAAAAGGCAGATTTGCTGTTGTTTAGCGGAACTAACACAACTGAAGCGACACTAGTCGGATTGAGGTGCAATGTACACCGTTTCGAAGCTAAGAGAAAGAGATACAATGTTGAAGAAGGCCACTCAGTCCAGTTTGCAATGTATCTAGGTCAAAATTGAAATATACGAAACCAGAATCTCACAAACAGGTTGGCTAACCGCACAATTGTTAAACAGCAATAACTCAGGCTACCGAAGTCCGATTGAAGTGTATTTTATGGTGTTTAGAAGCTAAAATACAACCCTACATTTATTATGAAGATCTCCAAGGCCAAATCATGCATTTTCATGATCAAAAATGAAAAACTACACGAAAACAGAATTCTGGGCGTGAAACAGGTTTCATGGACAATCAAGGGTATTTCGGTCATTTCACATGCTACAGTGGTCAGATCAAGCTGAACTTTTTTAGGCAACTAGTTTATACTATTGGATACAACTTTCATGTTTTGGCCAAAATCTAATTCGGTAAGAATCATGGTGAAAAGTCACGGTCAGATTGGGTTAAATGACAACCCTGTTCGCTGAACTCCTACCTAGACCCGTCTGGGTATTTCCCTCTTATCTCAGGCTACCAAGCTCGGATTGGGCTGAAAATTTACAAGCAACTAGAAAACATCATTCTCTACAACTTTCATTGTGCTAAGGCCAATTCAGCCTCTAATTAGGTGTAACAGTACCAGGCAGAATTGAAGAAACTAGAAACCCTAATCTGAAATTCATGCATTCAAGTGCTAATTTTCCATAAAATCACATCTTTAACCAACATAAACCATTAATTTGACATTAACAAGATCAAAGAGGGAATTCCTTAGCTACTCACCTTGAAACCTCAAGAAAAGAAGCACTTTAGCACCTCCTCTTTCCAAACCACTCCACCACCTTCCACAATCCTACCTAGTTAGGGAGTTTTATGGAGTGATTTCAGGTTTGGATGGTTGGATCACAAGATTTGTGCAAGAAATGGATGAAATATTTGAAGCCTTCTATTTCCTTCCCTCTCTAAGAAATTCGGCCAAAGCAAGACAAAATGAAGATGATTTTTGTTCCAAATTGGTATTTAGTAAAGTTAGGAATTAGTAGTCAAAATCCAAGTTCCAACCATGTGAAGACACCTAGCATCCCTTTTTGTTAAAACTTATCCTTTTGTCTCTCCATCATTAACCATCTAAGCAACCTCTAATTATCTCTTAACATCTAGCAAATTAAACCCAATACACAAAACTTAACCTAATTGGCCCAATTTTACCGAACTTACTGCACTAGTGGGTCCCACGCCCGGTATACGCTCCAAAAATTTCATGAACTAAATTATACTAGAAAAATAATTTAAAAACCCTATTTGTTCATAAAAATTATCTAGAAAATTTTCCTAATAAAGAAAATACATAAGAAGCGTGCAAATAAATAAAATAAAGCCTAGAAAATAAGAAATTTTACGGGTTCTCACAGGGGCTCCCCACGGTGAATCACTCTCCTTTAATAAATCCTGTAACTTCAATTTCAACTCTTTCAATTTAGCTGGAGCCATCTTATACGGCGTCTTAGAGATATGTGCTACTCCCGGAGTCACATCAATCTTAAAAGATATTTTCCTTTCCAGGGGTAAAGACTCTAACTCTTCAGGAAAGACATCCGGATACTCCTTCATTACAAGCATATCTTCTAATCTCACTTTATTGCTAGGAGTATTTATAAGAAAAGCTAAATACCCCTGAGCTCCCTTACTTAACATTTTTCTAGTTCGAATCCCTGAAATAAGTGCAGATGAGACTAATTTACCCCTTACATCCAATTTCAGGATTGCCTCTCCTGGAATGCACAATTCTACCGTTTTTGTCTTACAATTCAACTGAGCGTTGTAACGGGTTGACCAGTCCATTCCTAGGATCACATCATACCTTTTAATCACTAAACCCATCAAATAGGCCAGTAATTTCAGTTCACCAACCCAAATCTTGCAATCCTTATATATCAAGTTAGCGATTAAACTTTGATCCCTAGTAGGCGTTCTAACCTCCAAATCATAAGGTAACTTAATTGGCTTCAGATCTATTCTACTCATGAAGTTAGGGTTTATAAAAGAATGTGTCGCACCGGATCAATTAAAACCTTAGTTAAACGGTGAAAAATAGGGATCGTACCTTCAACCACCTCAGTATCATTAGGGATCTGTTGGTAGTCCAATGCGTAAACCCTAGTAGGTAACTTTGGTCGACTCCCTCCAACACTAGTCTGGTTAGAGTTTGACTTTTCTGGCTTTTGAATACTACCTCCTACTTTCAGCTTATTTGGACAATTCACAAGTTGGTGCTCGGCACTACCACAGAACAAACACTTTCCCGACGTTCTTCAACAATCATTCTCTGAGTGATTTGATTTACCACAGTAACTACAGTTGACTTGAGAGGTTACGGCCGGACCACTAGAAGGCATTCCTCTCGATTGAACCGGCCCACTACGACTTCCTCTGGATAGAGCTCCCCTTGAAGCTCCTGCGGTCCTTACTCCTCCCATTCCTCTTCCCATCTTAGAAGGCGGGGCACTTTTACTAACCTGACCAAAAGTATAACAAGAAATATTCATTTTCTTAGAGTGAAAGTCCCTAATTTGTATCCTTGCGTGCTTTCTCCAAAGATTCAGTAAATATAGAGATTTGGGCTGCAGCCAAACTCTCCTGAATCTCCACATTAAGGCATTGTACAAAATGTCTTATCCTTTTCCGCTCATTAGTCACCAATTCGAGAGCGTACTTAGAAAGTTTAGTGAACTTCCCTTCATACTCGGCTACACTAAGAGTTCCTTGCCTTAACTTTATAAATTCGTCCTCCTGCTTCTCTTGGATCAAAGGCGGAAGAAACTTTTCATTAAACTCTCTCGTAAAGTTTTTCCAATTCCAAGGGATTTGGACTCTCTCCCACTTTCCCCTTATCATGTCCCACCAGGCACGTGCTACTCCCTCAAAATGGATAGCAGCAAAGTTAACTCGCCTATTTTCGGTATAGTCTAAGGTAGCAAATATATTGGTCATCCTCTCCAGCCAATTCTCCGCTACCTCGGGATCAGGTTCCCCAGTAAACTTAGGCGGGTCAAATTTCAAAAACCTCTCCAAGACTCTATTTTCCCTTCTATCCTGGGCCCCGAGTTGGTTAAGTGGCCCTAGGCCCTGTCTCCCAACTAATTGTTCAAAGATATCAGTCATCCTATTAATGGCAGTAGCCACTTGGTTACCCCCTAGATTCTCTTATCTCTAAGTTGGCCTAATTGCTGATCCCTGATCATCCCCTTGAGGTTGGGTTTGCCTAGTCCCTCGCCCACTACCTCGACCACTCTTTCGTCCGTCCATAATTCTAGTTATGCCTAGCGCAAGAAATAAAATAATTACACGAGAAAATACTTAAAATAAGAACCAATAATGAAAACATTTGAAATAACAATAATTTACATGTATTTGCACTTTAAAGTTCATACAATTAGCATGTCATGGGGGATTACAAAATACAGTACACAGGTACCACAAAAGTACTTTTAGTCGTGTACGACCAAAGTAAAGTCAAGTGCCTCAAAAGTAGGCCATACAGTCAAGCAAAATACAATAACCTATACACTAGCATTACCCCAGCTATTTCTAGCTACAAAAGTCAAAAGTCTATCACTCTAGATCTAGTCCACAGTAGGGCTATCAGGTGAAATCTCCTCCTCAGGGTTCTCCTCCGGATTCTCCTCCTGAGCCAGACTCTGAACAATGTCCATCACCTCGTCAATCAGCATGGTAGTGTCTACTAGGATCCCAGCGGTCCGATCCCAGACCTCCTCGCCTATACTAGTAAGTCGAGCCCTAACTCTCTGAAACTCATCACGGGCGAGCTCAGCCCTAGCCACCTCATCCACTAATATCCCCTCCAGCTCTGCAATCCTATCATTCTGAGCTTTCACCATAAGGTTTAGCTCCTCCACCTCCTGGAGTAGATGTCTGTTGGTATCCACCAACTGGCGACACTCATCGTCAATAGCAAATACGAGGTCATTCGAATAAGCGTATGTCGCCCTACAGATACGTCGAGGAAACCTAGAAGAAGGTGAGTAACGCACACGAGCTCCTCCACCCTGTGCTCTATAGTAAATAAACCTAAGGGGCTCCACGTGGCCATTAGCATGACCATTACCATTAGCAGCAGGTCCCCATTTCCATTCTCCATCCCTGCAAAACAACCACAATTTCTAGGTTAGAAACTTGAAGTCACTAACTCGCTCAAATATAACTTAGGGTATAACTAGGTTATCTTATTCCTATTCTTAGAAGTAAAGTCTCTAATATATCTCCCAAATAGATCTCTAATCTAGTGCTCTGATACCAACTGTGACACCCTCACTTCTCCCTAAGGCGAACCAAAAAGTATCGGCGGGACGCCTGCCCAACTCTCGCCAGGACTCAGTACAATTCCAGTTCAAATTTAAGGTACAATACTAATAATGAAATCAGAATAAATGCACAAAATCATTTCCATATATAAATATTCAATCTTACATCACAAATTCAAAATACATCCACCTTTCCAAAATATACAACTTCCCAAAAGGATGTCTAGACAAATACATTCCAAAATTCTAGTCAAAAGAGCCATCAAGTAGGCTTTTCCATAATCCCTTCCAGTTCAGCTCTTATTAAGGAAAACAAATCTAACGGGGTGAGCGGATGCTCGTGAGGCTAAAAAAAATGCAAAACACATAGTTCAAGTAGCAATGGCATTTAAGCAAAAATTAAAGTTGTAATATTCAAGCAATTCACAATTTTCAATTAAACACATTCAATGAGGATACAGGAGCTCTCAGGAGTTAAGTTCCACTTGCTTCGCCAAACCTCGATCAAATACCTTCCCGCGATGACACTCCGTCAACTGGGTCGGCATTTAAGTCCGCAGAACTCCATTTAACGTCAATTCCATCCACTATTGACAGCACCGGGCTCGAACATCAATAAAAGGTACTACTACGTGAGTATGCCAAGTAAGATCTCTCAATAGATCAAACTTACATTTATCTCATGGTTCACCAAACTCCTCGACCAAGCCTTTGCTGACTCGAGTCGCAAGGTCAGCCAATTAAGATTTGGGCATCCCCACAGTTCAGTTATAAGTCAAGGAGATTCACTCCAATGACATGCAAGCAGATCAGTTATAAGTCGAGGAGATTCACTCTAACGACATGCAAGCAGTTCATTTATAAGTCGAGAAGATTCACTCCAACGACATGCAAGCAGTTTAGTTATAATTCAGTTACAAGCAGTTCAATTCAGTTGTTTAATCAGTTAAAAGAGAACGAGTGCGATAAAGTACACACTCGACTTAACAATCATATATCATTCAGTCCATAAGCAGCAATGCACATAATTGCAATGAATCATGCACTTGACATTCACCAGTCAAAATAGGGAGTAAGTGCTCAAACAACTTTTAGGCGTCCGCTTCGAGATCCTCTTGAAGGTCCCCTTGAGCACCTGAGCAAATAATAATTGACTATCACACACTATTACTTATAAACCCCTTGTTAACAAGGAAGATTGTACACTTGTACAATACTAAGAAAATATCATGAAAGAGAGCCTTAATTACTCGTAAATCGGGACTCAAAAGTGGAATTTAATAACATAAGAAAAATTGATTTCCTTCATGAAATCGAGTTTAAAACGGTCAATCAATATCAAAGGATAGGGAAGAGTTTCCAAAAACTCATTTCCTATCGAGTCGGAAAAATCCCAATTTTGCACGTAAAACTTAGAAAAATCAGAACTTGCACTCAGCAGATCCAAAATTGGAAAAATTTATACCGTTGGAATCTTAGACAGATTTCAAAGTGGCTGCTTAGAGCATACAAGACAGATTCAGTCTTGTTTTTCAGCAAACTTTGGAAATTCGGCAAAATTCACAGAAAGGTTTCAACCACAACAAGAGGAACTACATTCAGAGTTTTGAACGCCAAGATATAATAGTTCAAAGTTGGTAAATTTTCACTATTAAACAGTGAATTTTCCAGATTTGAAAGTAAATTTTGGGACATCATTTGGGTATCAAAATGGTCTTAGAATAACACCAAATTTGGCACAATTCAACTTCCATAGGAGGACTACTCTTCTATCAAATTTCATATAAAAACTCGTACGGAAAGGTAGTTAACAAAACTATCAAAGTTCAAGAAATTTCCAAAGCAAATCTGTTTTCTTGTTTTCTTTCCCTTTTCAAACACTTTGCACCATGAAATCAGTCCTATTTTGGTTCATTTGTGAAACCAAGGTCCAAGAAACATTTCATAAGCAATTGTTAGTTGGTTGACATCAAAATTTCAAAATAAAACATTTCACAAACAACTAAACCAATCGGCCAGCAAAAAGAAGGGTTTTCCAGTTTTGTCGCAGTTTAGAAATTGAACCATATCTCGCTCAAATCAACTTGGAATTGAGAATGGTTGGTGGCGTTGGGGCCATCAGAACATGACAACAACTTTGCCGACTCATAACGGCTCACTCATTTCGAACTAGAAAGTGAATTTTATATCGTTGGAAAGCTACAACTGTCTAATTTCAAATGCCGCAAATGGTACTCGATTTCGACATCTGTACAAAGAGATATATTCGATCAAAGAGACACTGTTCAGACTCCTTGAACACGTTTTCCAGATTTCTTTACATTTCGAAATTTCAAGTTTTGCTCAACCAATTCAAATGATTTTTGGTAGAAACTTTCTACACATCATATACAACATATCTACATTAGTTTCACAGCAAAACAACTCACAAAATTTTGAAATAAAGGCACGGCAAAAACAGGACAGATTCGGCCAGCATTCCTACGCAATTTCCTTCGATCTTTCCTTCAATTTCTAACCTTAACACTCAACACAAACACACTAACACACATTTTAACATCATGGCAATCCTTATATGACCAAGGTGGGCGTTCAAAGAGCCCACTTCAACCAATCCAATCCAAATAACTACAACAACAAGGAAGCTACAAGCTTCAAAGCCAAAAATGAAACTCTTTAAAGCCAAGAAATGAAAGATTGGATGAGTTGAGGTGTATACCTCTTGAACCCTTGAAGAACCAAAATTTTTTTATCACAAAAGCTCCAAGAAAACCGCCAAGATGAAGTCTTCCACCAAGCTTAAGCTAATCTCTGAGTGATATGAAAGTTGAGTGAAGATTTTGGAGTGAAATTGTGCAAGAATGGAGCAAGAATGATGAAGAGCTTTCTCTTCTTCTTCCTTGGCTGGTTTGGCCAGCACTAGGAGAGAGAAAAGAGAGGTTGGTGTGTTGTGAAGCTTCCTTTGGAAGCTTGAGGGTTTTGTGGTTAAGATTTGTACAAAAGTCAACTATGAATTGTACTCGCGCGCAAGGGTTTCGTAACCATTTTCTCTCAGGTTTGTTACACTTGTGCACTAAACCTCCAATGTAATTCCTTTAACACTATAATTATTCACTCTTAGCAGTCTAGAATAAATTTCTTAAATCTACATTTAGCCATTCCAGCTCGATTTACGCGAACTTGCAATTCGCGTGCGATAAAACGAAACTTAAAGGAAATTCTTGTAACAATAATATAAGTAACTAATACTAGGGTAAATAATCATAAAAATAACTATTTTAAAAATAAAAAACATAAGTCCTCACAGGTTGTAGTTATCTTTTTTTAAAAAAAATTAAAATGTACATCAATTAGGGCATAGATAGGGATAAAATAAGTTAGTTACCATTTTGAATGTTTATCTAGATTCATTGTACCCAACCTTATTGTAAACCAATAAATAGGCCATATATCATTGTAATTAAGTGTGTGAAATGCAAGAAATATTTCCCCCCAAAATTTCTTTTCTTCTTAACATGGTATGAGAATAGGGATTTTAGAACTTTTGCTCAAGTGCCTACTCTGATATAACCTTGATCTCTAAACAAGAACCATTGAAGAATCATCCAAAATGGCAAAACATAGTGAAACTGCCTCTATTTTAGAAGACTTTACTGCACGAACGACAAAAGTTTTGATCAGAAGCTAGAAGATTACACCAAGCAATGATTCATCCGTGGCAAATATTGGCATCATGTTCGATGACACGAACTATGCCTTGTAGGCCCAAGTTGTTGAGATGCATATCTCGAGCAAGGATAAATTGTGATATATTAATGATGAAATTTCTCAACCTTTATT